GAATCTTTTCAATGAGCAGCGTGACAGACTCTTCCGAAGCATTCAACGATAGCAATGCATCCGTTCGCTATAAGCGAGACGTCATTAGGAGGACTCATACACTGGGAGACGGGCAGTAGGAACGGTTTTGTGTAATTGGTCCGCCGCACGCGGCTGTCGCGGATCATTTGCCTCGTTTCAACAGTTTTAGCGTTCTTCATTCAACTGAATCACTATGAAATTATTACTCAGGCATAATTCTACTGTTAGTTCTTTTGTTCCTGAATTTCTTACTTGCTGCTGCATTCTGCTACATTTCGGTGTCTCTCGTCACGACGCGACAATTTCATTACTACTGCACCACACCCCTCATACACATGTAGAGAATGCGCTGCGAGCAGGGAGGCCCTGTTTTGTGGGTCGCTTGTTTGCCACAATTTGCTTTGAGCATTATCCATTTTCGAACGGATAGCTCTACCCGAATCTCAGGCGTCATCCATGCCCCAGAAGTTTGTGGCGACACTACAGGCGGAAGGCAGATTGGTCTACGTTGTATGCTTGGGAAAACGGTTTTTTCGAACCCCTGACCATAACAAGGAACCAGAAACTGAATGCATGCATGCCAGTATGCAATTTTAGCAGTATTACTCTCTATCTCTTAATGTCAATGCAGAAAGATCCGTTGTCTTCAAGAACGATACATTTGAGCGTTAATCTGGAGGGGTATCTTTATTGCAATCACGGTGGCTCTCGAATAACATCCAAGCTGCAGATATTTCAACCCCTTTATTGCTAAAAGTCGATAAATTAGGGGTAATTATTCCTGCACCAGCAATGGCAACACCATCATTTCCGTATTTCTTCCCTGATTGAACACATCGCGTGACGGCGTCTCACCTTCCTCCGCCTAAAAAACACACAGTTGAGCCGTGGATGTTGTAATCATAATCCATAAGCTTACTTTAGTTGTGACGAGGACAATCTTATCAATCTTAGCACCACCGTTTTGCCGCAGAATGTCGATTCTCGACGATTTGCCAGGCTCAACCACTCCGAACACAGGATTCACACGATACAACATATTATCCGAGCATTTCACCTGAAACGAGCGGTCGTTCATACCCAGAGATCATCTCGCTTACAATGAACCCATTATTTACCTTGAAGAACCTGCGCTCCTGGGTGTCGTTGACAACGTTCACTCCCTTCAAACCACCGATGGCCTTGTAGCTTAGCTCGCAAGGCTCCACACGTAGTTCTGATGGTTTAGCTTAACGCAAAAGATTTTGTGTTCAACCTGAAGTCCTTCCCATGCCTACTGGATATGAATCTCATCCTCCAGACTCCCTGCAGACCGCTTACTCAACATGTGCATGTGCAAGATTGATATCGACTGAGCGAGATCCACGGTAACGACCATTTCGACATGCACATGTGAGAGGTGCGGGCTGAAGAGTAGAAGTGGTCGCATTTGAGGCTATGCTGTTCTCAATAGAGGTATTCGAAGACTTCACCCACCTGGAAGAGATGGACCAGATGCCTGAAAGTAGCTGAATTTCACTACAAACAAAGAGGGTTATTACCAAGAAATGTCATAGGAGTCATGACTCGTGGAGCCTTTGCACTGTCAGAAATGCAGTAAATTCTTATGTATCTTCGGTGAAACCATGTCCCTCCTCTACAATACAAGTGGGGCCCCATCAGGAAAAGGGCAGTAGGTTCAAATAATTGCTCGCTCACTGTCGTGGTTGTTGCCACTAGCGGCTTTACTTCGCCAGAGGCCTCCGTTATAAGCCGTCTTGGTTATAGGGTGGACGCTGGACCTCATTTTCTCAGGAAATTGGGTTATTGTTATCCTTAGGCCGAGAAGTGCGGTGTTTGGAACTCACCCTACCGCTTCTGCTCGACCTGCGGGAGCCAGAATCTCGTCTTCTGAAAAAGCCTAGCGTTTAGCAAGAACAATCTAGCAATGGTAAGAATGAAGGAGAATGGAGCCTACGATCTGCTTCTCCTGCTCCTGGAAGACTGAAAAATAACTTTTTTGTCTCAGGGTCAGTAAAAATCTACAGCTAATCCCTGAGTGAACTTACTCGTGAGGACTTGCTGCCCCTGCCCCTCTTCTTGCTGCGCCTAGATCGCTTAGACCTCTTCGACCTTCTGCTTCTGCTACTCTTGCTTCTTCGAGACTTGCTGCGGCTTGAACGAGACGATTTTCCGCGCTTAGATTTTCCAGATTTGCCAGCCGCGCCTCGTTTCTGAAAAAAGAGTACAGTTTTAGCAAGGAAATCGCGAGGATCGGATGCAAAAGAAGAAGCCCAGGTTGAGATTCAGCCTGACCTTACCACATCCGGTCCCGTATAGAGCGACTGCCCCAGCGGGCACGACGAGCAGCCAATACATATGATATGATGTACCTAACCATTACCACTCGTTTATAAATGAGGTCTTATCCGACTGATTACACTGTATCAGTAGTGTACTACTCTGCATCGGTGAGGCTGATTGTCCCTGAAGGATTTGAATCTAAAGCGAAGTCACCCTAGCACAGTTCTGGTATTGGCATTGACTCACTTGTCCCTCCAAACTTCATTCAGTTCCCGTGTGAACATTTGCAATGCAATGTTGGTCCCATTTTGCTTGTTCAAGAATACAAAAGTCTTCTACTCCTTGTCCAGTCCCTTTGTTATTTTTCTTTGAGATCCCTTTGAAAACTTGGCCATTGCCCACTACGGGAGTCATGACCAGTGCTGCTGAAAATTGCCGATCGATTATTATCATGCGACAAGTAATGGAACACGTAACTTCCATGACTGTTTTATAATTCAAGCATCCACTATTCGTTAGAAGTGAGGTGTGCTGGTGGAAGCGTGAACACAGTGACTATTGAGCTGTTGAATAACAAAAAGGTAAGGGGAAGATGAAATCTGTGGTGCAAACTATTTTCTAATTCCTCTTGGTGACTCACTTTTGCCCCGTTCCCTGTTCCATTTACTTGCTTTTCAACATTTCAGCGTATTTTATTACCTAACATACACGCTGATGTAAATGGGGGCTGCACCTCCAAAGCGGTGAATGCAGCAGTCTAATGGCGTTCTATGGAATGGGATTCGTATGGAATTCGAGTGCAGAGCCCATATCGAAAACGACATTGTTTAACGCCAGAAGACTTCAGCCTCTCGACTTCGATCTTTACCAAACGGGTCGCTCGGTTCACGCCGGGCCTCATTCCTTCCTTTGAACAATAATTAGAAAATGATGTAGCTACGGAGAAGGAGAGGTGAGGNATGGAATTCGAGTGCAGAGCCCATATCGAAAACGACATTGATTAACGCCAGAAGACTTCAGCCTCTCGACTTCGATCTTTACCAAATGGGTCGCACGGTTCACGCCGGGCCTCATTCCTTCCTTTGAACAATAATTAGAAAATGATGTAGCTACGGAGAAGGAGAGGTGAGGTTGGAGGGATGGGCTGGGGGTTCGTTTTTATTCAACACTGAGGACTTTAGTGCGGAAAAAAGATGGATGGCCGATTTTGAAGCTAGGATGGGGTATGAGTAGAATAGTTTATTATACGGTGGTTCACCCACCCCGGTACATCTTCCCTCCTGAAGTTCAGGTCGAAAAAGTGTACGATCTCGGCTAAGAAACGTTCCAAAGCACAACTATGGGCTGATCTTTTTATCTCTAGCGCTCGATGTTGAAAAAAAAGCGAAGTATCTCGACTACGTTATTACCTCCGATTTTTGTTTAGACACATCACGATGCTAATACAGATCGAAATCACAGTTCTGAAGTACCCACTCAACTCCACATTACTTACTTCACACCGCAGTACTCACTCTACTTCATTAACTTACCCACCACCAAGTTACTGCTTTATATATAAGAAGGAAATGTGAGAGCTGGATTGTCCATATCAGAACCTTTATCGTAATCACAAAATTTGCGGACGGACGGGCAGTAATTGGTGTGTCGGTCCAACCGACACACCAATTACTGCTTCTTAAATAAGAGAAATACCCAGTTCTCGATCGGGTAAAACTCTTTCCATCACTTAATGTGGCGTGGTGTGCCATTTCGAACGATTATATGTTGGTTGTAAATGGTTTTGCGTCGAAGTTTCGTTAGGCCGATACAATTTCTAAAAATATAGTCTCTTCCCACACAGCTCTTCGATTCTGGAATTCATCAGTCAAGCATGGGCAACTCAGTACTCCCATAGTGAGGTCCAAAAGTTTTTTTTAGGATGGATGTGCGTCGGCGCGGGGGCACAGAGTGTTTGAAAGAAGGACTGTGACAGTTTGAAGGTTCTTCGATTTAGTTCAGTCTAGTTCTATCATGATGAAGGGAGGCTTTCAAGCATTCCTAACTCGAGACATCTAGCAAATAAAAGAAAAAGAATGGAATTCTGATGCACATGCGCCCAATGTTGTTATGGTGGTACAACTCAACTACAGGTGGGTACGCACTGGTATTCTTCACTGACCTGTGAAACTAACCCACGTTCGGATTATTGTAATT